ATCCTTTGTCAATGAATAATTTCCATGAGGCCTCTTTTAGTCTATACTGACAAAATTAATACCTGTATGCTGTTGATGCCAGTCTGTTATAGTTGATTCTCCCATCCAAGTACAAGAAATGTATTGAAATAAAAACCACTCAGCATACATTAAAAATATTAGCTAGATGAAAAATTTTAGCTACTTAACTTTACTATTTCCAACATACACTTTGTTTTCTCTTTCTCCTAAACTAGTCACAAAACTATGACCACTACTATGGTTCAGGGAAAGAAAAAAAAAAAAACAACTAGCTGCAAAACATTACAATTTAGCTCACCTTCAACATTCAAGATTATTTTCTTTTTAATGTATTACCTGGTTTATCAGCTTTAACCTATAAGATCTTGTCATTGCTTTCTGAGACTCAAATTCAGTCTAAAGTCAAATCAAGAATTTCCTAACATAAAGGTAAGTGTAGGTATTGGAATGATAGGAATGCTCTTACACCGCTAAGAGCAGTTTAAAGATTCTGCTAAAAATTAATATGTATCTCCACCAACATTTGAAATATTTATAACTGATGGTAAGAATAGCCTTCCTACATGGGATACTTGGGTTAAGGTTAGAAATAACTAAGTGTGTCCTGTAAGATAATGTTTTTAATGTTTAAACTTACCCTTAAGGGAAATAAGTGGGGGCAGACTCAGGGAAAGAGGGGATAGAAGGTACGGAAAGAAGGAATAGAAGCTAGGGAAAGGGCGAAGGCTAGAGTTAAGTGAATAATCCCGTACGTAGAGTGACATCATAGAGGACTTTTGGCTGATGAAAAGACCAGTCGGGAATAGAGCCAATATAGATCAACTTCGCCACTCATATATTTAAAACCGACTGCATATGTATCTCCATATCTCGTCTTCAAACCAATACTTATAAACAATAAATCACCGCCCGTATAAGCAATTTGCGACTCTAGCAAGGGTGCTGATTTATTTGTTCAGGTCTACAAATGTTCTGTTCTGCCTGTCTATTAAATTTCCACACGTACCAGGCGCCCACATGGGATAACCTGATGCTTACAAAACAGATTAAACTTAGTGGCAAATGTTATCTGGGTATTCGTTCACAAACGGAAACACCCCTAAAGGATGGCACCTGCCTGCATCATAAGAAACATAAAAATCCAAAAACTAACTTAATTCTAAGAAACAGAAAACGCAGAACACTTCTCCATCTGCAGAATGCACGGTTCTCGGACAGCTCAATGCACTAAGATCCCAACAACCAGATCAGAACGCCTCCAACTCGAGGCAGGATCGTCAACCAATCAGATAGCAGCATTCATCTTCTAATTCCTATTGTATTAGATACTCGCAATGAGGCGGGCTTTTAGCCGACAACCAACCAATTGGGTATTGTATGGAGCCGGAAGCGACTCTGGTCCTGGATTCTTAGGTATTCTCTATGGTTCCAGGACTGAGCTACGCAGAGAGAAGGCGGGACGGAGGAATGGGAAATGACGTAAGGATTGCGGAGGGGCGCGAGGTTTCAAGATGGCGGTGGCTGAGGGGTTGACCGAGAGGCCGAGTTGAAGGCCCTTACCTGATAAAAGAGGCTGGGAATCGCTCCCTCCCCGCTTCTCGCAGTCCTGGGAGCACAGCAGAAGTGTGAGTGTAGGGGATTGCTTTTCTGCTCTTCCTTGTCTCTTCCGTCCCTTTTGCGGCCCGCGCAGCGGCTTCGGGGACACCCAGCCCCTTTGCCGCGCTCCTCCTCTCCCCAGTTGGGGTCTCCTGGTTGCGGACTGGGGCATTGCTGGGCCTGGGGTGGCGCGGCGACCAGCGATTACGCGGTTGGCTTCGCCAGGGTCGGTTGGGGCGGCTTCCTATGCACGTTGATTGGTAGCCTTAGGCTTCACGTCTCGTACCTTGAATCATGGTCGGTCAACCGTCGCTATGGTTTCGGCAGTTGCTGCTGTTGCCTCCTTTGGTGAACCTGGACCCTATGTCATTTAAGCCTCTTTGGCTATTTAAGAGTTCCCCAACGGTTACTTGGCCTGATTTTCCAGTCTCCCCCGCTTGTAGACAAAAAACTAATCTGCAGACTTAAGCTCCGGTATCTTCCGTAAAATTCTCCGTAATTCGTTGTTTCTCATTTGTGGGGGAGGAGATTCAGAACGTGTGCCTTGAGGACACTAAGGGAGTACAGAAACGCACCCAATCAAAGATGGGAGCTTGTATTTGTACTGATTTTGCTTGTTTTCCCCCTTCCCTACCTCCTACTCCCTGCTACTTTCCCACCACCCAGTTTTTCTGACAAGGAAACCGCTTGACAGGTTGTATAGGCCAGGAATATAGACCCATTATAAAGATTATAGTTAAATAGTGAGTCAAACATCACAGGATATTTTGTTTGTAGTCCCATTGTATCATCAGAGCTTTGTTGTAAAGTAATGATGTCCCCATTTTTTAGATGAGAAAGCTGAAAAATCAGAGCCTTTGTCACCCGTGTCTTGAAAGAAATGCCACCAAAACAGCTCTGAAACATCTGGCGGAAATCGGGGCAATTGAACACTTAGTAAAAGAGAAATTAACTGTAATACACTCGTCTGACAAAATCTTCCCTTTCTTACCTTTAAAAAGTGCCTACTTGGAAAAGGAAGCAAATTTGGCCGTCTTTATTACTGGAAAGACTGGGCTTCAAAAAATTAAGCCCCATTCTTTTGAAATACGAGAAAGAAGTCATGTAATAGTGTACTGTGTTAATAAAAGTTTTAGCTTACAAAGTATTTTTTCTTCAAACATAAGTATTCCTTTTAATTACCTTAAGAAATATATATTGGGAGTCAGGTATTGGTAAGAAAATATATGTCTTAGTATTTAAGTTGTGGGGAGCTTCTTAATGTAGCACTCATTTCAAATATTTGCATTTTTAGTTGTGTTTTGAACTCTTCAGAGTCAAGAATTATGTCCGAATTAGAACTGAATCTGAATTAAATATGCTTAAAATAATGAGTTTTTGCTGTTTTAGAGGTGTTGAGAATGTACAGGATACATGCCAAGAAAAACCATGGAGAGAGGCAAGGGTGAGGTATTTGTTTTGAGCCAATATCTATACACTCATTCCCTTCTTATTCTTCTTTTACAATTACATGTTAATAAAGGGAGGTTATAGTAGAAGGACTAATGGCTTCTGATGTTCATGGTTTGTGCCATACCGTTAACGCATTTTCTAGTTTTGTCTATCAGTTGACATAGTCAATGCTATATCCATAAAAAAGGGTTAAATTGATGACTTGAGGATATTCAAAGTGGGCTTCACGTTCATCATGTTTCTAAAGAATAATAGAGATCTAAATTTTCATGGTCAAGAAAGTTGATGCCATCTTTCTTAGACATTAAAGTCAAAACTAAGGAAAGAACGGTCTCACAGAATTTATAATTAAAGGAATGTTTCTTTTCAGAGATTGGTAAGGACTAGAAAAAGGAAGAAATCAATATAGGAAATATAAGCTATTTCTTTGTCTTCACCTTCACAGGTTTTTCTTTTTTTAACGAGCAAGTAAACCATACAGATTGTCAACATGGGACGGAGATCTACATCATCCACCAAGAGTGGAAAATTTATGAACCCCACAGACCAAGCCCGTAAGTGGCCATTAGTGTGGAATGATGAAGTAGGACAGTGCTAAAAATTGCAAATATTAGAGGATTTCTTTCCCTGTGGCTTAATTACAAGACGAGCAGTGATAAGAGGAATAAATTGTATATTCAGTGTTTGTATGGGCACATGATTAAGACTTTAAACATGCAAATAAATTAGTACCAATATTTTTCAAATTTGATTGAATTGCACAGTAGAGTTGGCTGAAAGCTTTCTCTTTGTATTTGAAATTTTGAGCAAATTAGTTTTGCGAGCCCTTGTTTAGCATTTTATGTTATCCTTTTCCTTCAGACACATAGTTGTTTTTTATGAAACATTAAACAAAAATGTCTTCACATTTTTGTTATAATTTGAGGGATGCTATTGGCATGTAGTGGATAGAGGCCAAAGATGCTGCTATTTTACAGTGCATACTGTAACTCCCCACAGTAAAGACTTACCTGTATTAAATTGGAGAAAATGCTAATGTTCAAGATTCAAAAGTTTTATTATATCTCCCTCTCTTCTTTTAAAGGAAAGGAAGCCCGGAAGAGAGAATTAAAGAAGGTATGATTTCAGAAGCATCTTGTAAAACTTTAAGTATTGTTTGGCACATCTTGTGATTTGGGATTAGTAGGTTTCAGAATAACATTTCTAATTTTATGAGAAAAGAGGCTTTATGCTTTTTATAAAAACTGTGGAATAAACTAAGCCAAAATTTACTAAGGAACTGAAGTAACTTTGCAGAGAAGCTCACACGGGTTATAATGATATTGTTTGATTACTTTTCCCAATGAGTTAAATATTTTTGAAAATAATTCTTTTTTGTTATTTATTAAAACATAACTGTTTTAAAGCCTACTGATGAGAATGGAAATAAATATGATGCCAGATAGCTTTATATATCCATTTTCCTGATTAGCATTTTCCTCTTAGCTGTTGAATTTGTGGCAAAGTACTTCAACAGAATAAGAAAGGATTTGCTTTATAGTATTGTGCCTTAATACATAGAAGCAACACAGATTTTAAATAATGTTCAATTGTGTCTTCGTGTTTAGCATTAAATTCTGCAAAATTTTTTAATCTCTTTTTTTTTTTTTTTTTTTTTTTTGAGACAAAGTCTTGTTCTGTCGCCCATGCTGGAGTGCAATGGTGGAATCTCAGCTCATTGCAACCTCCACTTCCCGGGTTCAAGCAATTCTCTTGCCCTAGCCTCCTGGGTAGCTGGGACTACAGGTACCTGCCACCACCACGCCTAGCTAATTTTTGTATTTTTAGTGAGACAGAGTTTCACCATATTGGCAGGCTGATCTTGAACTCATGACCTTTTGGTCTGCCCACCTCAACCTCCCAAAGTGCTTAGATTGCAGGTGTGAGCCACTGCACCCAGCCGAAATATTCTTTATATAATTTTAGCACTTCGACCTTTGTGCTTTTTTTTTTTTTTAATTTTTTTATTTTTTTGATAAAATTTTGGACTTCAGCTAGCAGAGGTTTTAGAACAAGGGGCAGGAACAACCACCCAAAGTCTTCAAGAACCTAAGAGGTAGAAAAAAAAAGAAAGAAATTTAAAGTGTGTTTGTGTGTTTAAGTAACTGCTAAAGATCTCACAGAGTTAAAAGAAATGCTTTCCTAAGAAAGCACATCTTGAAAAAAGGGCAAGATGGCGGACTCCGAAGAGGTTGTTTTGCCGCTGAATGCTGCTTCCACTGCCCCAATTTCATTTGGCTTCACTCGCACGCCTGCCCAAAGGCAGCTGGCCGACTCGGGAGACAGCGCCAGGCCATCCCCAGAGGAGAAGGATTTCTTGAAATCTGTGGAAGGAAGGGAGCTGCAGAGTGTGAAGCCCCAGGAAGCCCCCAAGGATCCCTTTGATCCAGAATGACTATCGCAGGCAGCCACCAGCCCGGTCACCTGGGCCATCCACAGATTCTGGGGCCTTGGTGGATGGGGTGCTGTCCCAGGCTGTGGAGGAGCTCATTGAGGAATCCAAGGAGTCTCTGGAGGAGAGAGAGAATGCGGGTTTTGACCCCATGCATGCTATCCCCATGATCCAGAAAGGTTGCACCCCCAGCGGGGAAGGGGCAGACAGCAAATCCCGGGCTGAGACAGTGCCAGAGGAGGCCAATTATGAGGTGGTCCCCGTGGAGGCCTATGGGCTGGCCATGCTGCGGGGCATGGGCTGGAAACCCGGCGAGGGCATCTGTCGCACCTTCAATCAAGTAGTGAAGCCCTGTGTCAAGTCACTGTGGCCTAAGGGATTAGGGCTGGGTGCCAACCTGATCGAGGCCCAGGCCTTGACCCCTGCCGGCCCCTCCCGCATGCCAAGGCCAGATGAGCAAGGGAAGGATAAGGAAGATCAGCCTCAAGGGCTGGTGCCTGGAGGATTTGTAATGGTTCTTTCTGGCCCTCACCGAGGCCTGTATGGGAAAGTGGAAGGCCTCGATCCTGACAATGTTCGGGCCATGGTTCCTCTGGCTGTGGGGAGCCGGATGGTGACTGTTAGTACTGCCTATGGCCTGTCTCCCAGCAGGGATTTAACAAGAACACCTTGGATCTCAGGCAACAGAACGGAACTGCCTCATTATGGAAGACCCTCCGGAATCGAGAACTCCACATCCAGCAGGACAGCTCAGAGAGGAAGCAGAAACACCTTCCAGACCGACAGAATGGGCCTGCAGCCAAGAGTGAGAAAGCAGCCACCAGGAGTCAGCACTGGTTGCACAGGAACCTGCGCATGCGGTTTGTGGACAAGATGTACAAAGGTGGCCAGTATTATAACACCAAGATGATAATTGAAGATGTCCTAAGCCCAGATACCTGTGTATGTCAGACACATGAAGGCCGAGTCCTGGAAGGCCTGAGGGAAGACATGCTGGAGACACTGGTTCCCAAGGCAGAGGGTGACCGTGTGATGGTGGTGCTGGGCCCACAGGCTGGAAGGGTGGGACATTTGCTGAACCGGGACAGTGCACGGAGCCGGGCTTTGGTGCAACTGCCAAGAGAGAATCAGGTGGTGGAGCTTCACTACGATGCCATCTGCCAGTACACGGGCCCTAGTGACACAGATGAAGACTGACCCATGGGACTCCTCCCATCCCCTAGGCTGTTACCAGTTCTGTACAATATGAGGAAGTTGCCTTCAAGAAGGTGGGAAGATCATTGTTCCATCCTCTGCTTCTGGTGCAGTCCTGGGACAAGGGACATAGATGGATGAACCAGTAGGGAAGCTAGAAACAAACCCAATATTTACCAGAATTTAGGGTATAATAAAAACCATTTCAAATACTTTAAAAAAAAAAGAAAGAAAAGAAAAGAAAGAAAGCACATCTTAAAAATAGCATTTCTTTATCTTTTTGACAAGTCTAAACGTTTTTAAGGCCAAAAAAATGACATAGCTGTTTCTGGTGGTTGAAACAAGTGATCAGAAGCCAAGGAATTCAAAATTCTGTTTAGATTCTTAAAGCCAGTTGAAATAAAACTCATGAGTGTCTGACTTGTTGACGTTCTGCCCCTCTTTTTCTAAGAACAAAAAACAGCGCATGATGGTTCGAGCTGCAGTTTTAAAGATGAAGGATCCAAAACAGATTATCCGAGACATGGAGAAATTGGATGAAATGGGTAAGAATTTACAAACAGGCAGCTGTAACAGTCTGATACATACAGAGGCAGGCAGGTAATGAGTGAAGCAGCACAGGCCTAAGTAAAACAGAACAGCACGATGGCATTTGATGTTTGAATTTAATGTTAGTTTCAGGGAGGCAAAATGGAGTGCTAGAGGGCTGTTGCAAACTGGAGACTCCAGACACTAGAATAAGAGGAGAGCGGTTATTTGGCTTTCAGCTAATTGTTATTATGAGATAACAGAAGCTTAGTTTGGCCAGCTTGCTTTTCAGGAAAAGACTTAATCTGGTTTATGAAATAACCTTGGGTTTTTTGTTTGTCATCTTTTATTTAATGTTGGCAACTACCATGTAAATCTAAGTATCAGGCCACTGTTAATATAAGGCATTTCCAATTTATCCAAATTTTGAGTAAAAATTTCCAATTTTTAGTAAAGATGTAGAAAAAAAATCATCAAATACCTAAAACCAAGTATATAAAATACTATACCAGGATTCTTTGCCTTTTTCACATTTCATAGAATAATTTTATACCCTCTCCATATGCATGTTAAGTATCGCTGCTTTGTTATAACTGGAATCACATGAAATGGCTGGATGTTGTCTTTTTTGTTAAGTTTGAAAATCATTGATACTGCTGCTGGAAATTTTATCCCAACCCACAAATACCCTTTCTGTTTGATATTAGAACATGTAGAATATTTTATTTGTTTCTTTTAATAGAAATTTTCAAACATGCAGAAAATAAAATAGTCTACTTAACTTCCATGTGCTTTTCACCTGTCAAATTTTTGCCACTTTGTCTTCTACCCTTTGTCAACTTTTTAAAATAGTATTTTAAAGTGATCTTTTACAAGTTCTATGGCTTGTCCAAAAACAGAGTAGTAAGTAAAAGAGATGCAGTGAAGCTCTTCAATGATACGTTAAATGGGGTACAAAAAAATCCAGTCATGGCATTATGCTATTACAAGGTTTCTGAAATAATGTCGAAGAATCTGGGCAGCTAGCCTGGGTAAGAGCTGTGGGTCAGGCTTCAGGATCCCAGATCTTTCCCAGTTGAGCTATAACTGATTCTACTTCTTGCCTCTGGTCCAAATAACAGCAAGGATAGTTGCTTTCCTTGGGAAATCAGGGAATCCTTCATTAAATGACCCCAAATGTTATGTGTTGTTTTAAAAGGAAAAAATAGTAATAACTGAGGTTTCTTGAGTAGTTACCTTGCTACACGCCAGTTTTTTTCCCACGAGTTTTCTAATCCTCACAATTTTTTAGGGTAGGTGCACTGTCCCTATTTTACAGGTTAGGAAACTCAGGCACAGAGAGATTATATGGCTTTCTCAAGGTCGCACTGCTATGTAGTGGCAAAGCTAAGATTAAAACTCAGACATTCAGAGCTTTTCCTAATCACACTAGGAATCGTATGGTGTAAGAATACACCTTCTGGATTTGAATAAATTACCAAGATTAATAGTTAAATAGGATTTAAAGAAGAAGATAAACTTGTTGTTCTTTTAAGAAAACGGAAAGGGGTGAAGACAACACTATTCATCAGGGTTCCAGTTACAATTTATAAAACTCAATACAGACTAGTGAAGGCAGAAAAAAGCATGCATTGGCTCTCTTAATTAAGAAGTCTTAATTAGGTAGCATTTCTGAGAAAAGTAAAATTAGTGGCCATCTAAAAGGGGTGGGGATTTTAATAAAATTGTAGTTCTTTGAATAAGTTGAAAAGAGTATGTTTGGTATCTAGAGCTCTTAAAAACTTTTCAGCATATATGGAGGTTTTTATTATGTAACCTGTTGATACCTAATTGAAGTGGCCCCTCCTTTAATCCCATAATCTACTTTTTCTCTCAGAGTTTAACCCAGTGCAACAGCCACAATTAAATGAGAAAGTACTGAAAGACAAACGTAAAAAGCTGCGTGAAACCTTTGAACGTATTCTACGACTCTATGAAAAAGAGAATCCAGATATTTACAAAGAATTGAGAAAGCTAGAAGTAGAGTATGAACAGAAGAGGGCTCAACTTAGCCAGTATTTTGATGCTGTCAAGGTAATCAAGGTTTTTTTTGTTTGTTTGTTTTGTTTTTTGAGAGATAAACTAAAATATTATACAGATTTGAGTATCCCTTATGCAAAATGCTTGAGACCAGAAGTGTTTTGGATTTAGGGGTTTTTCTTGGGGGCAGGATATTTGCATATATTTTAGGGATTGGACCTGAGTCTAAACATGAAATTTATGTTGCATATGCACATAGTCTAAAGATAATTTTGTAAATTTTGTGCATGAAACAAAACTGCGGCCCATCACATTACGTCAGGTTTGGATTTTTCCACCATGGCATTATATGGGAGTCAAAAAGTTTAGGATTTTGGAGCATTTTAGATTTTCAGATTAGGGATGCTCTATCTGTACTTATATTTAAAAAGTTAATGGGAGAATGGATCATGCTGAACCTCTTCCTCATAGCAATTTCTTCTAAAACTAAACATGCTTACCCTGTGAACCAGCAAATCTAATCCTCTGTATTTAAGCAGGAGAAATTAATTCAAAACTAGGATCAGCCTACTGTTCACTAATAATATAATGGATAATTAAACTGTAGTATATTTATACAATGGAATACTGTTCAGCAGTAAAAGGAATAATCTAATACTCAAACCAACATGGAATAAAAAAAATTATCAATAAATCTCAAAAACATGCTAAGTTTATTTCATTGTTACAATTTCATTTCTAGAATAGGTACAACTAATCTATGCAGGAAAAAAAATGTAGCAGTGGTTGCCTTGCGGGATATTAGAGATGGATTGGGAAGGAGTATGAGGTATATGCATTTGTCAAAACTTGACTGAATTTGTACATTTTGTAAATTTTACCTCAAAGATGGGAAAAAGTCAAATGCTGTAATTTCTGTAAAGGAGGTAATATGCCCCTCATTTTACAGAGGAGGGCACGAGTTAACTTGATTAGGTAAGCTAAGCCAATACACAACAGAAATTCAACATAGGCAAGCTAATGAGCCCAACCTGCACCACTGGATATATACATTTGTTAGTTGACATGTATTATTTTTCTATCACCCTGCAAATTAAATAGGGTAACTTTGGTGTTAGATACTTTTAACAGTTGGATTTCTCTAAACAACAGGTATTTCAAATCATACACAAAAAGACTTACCTGATAGTAAGAGGAGAAAAAGCAGCTGTGTTTTGGTGTTTTCAGTAATAAAGGTTTTTTCAACTCTTTGACAGTCTTTGGAAGTATTGATGTGAGGCTATTTTTGTGGGGGTTTTAGTGATATTTATGTTAGTTGGAAAGCATGTCTGAGTCATGAAACAGCTAACTTGTCATTTTTAGTGTTTAGTTTGTGGATGACTTTTTTATCGTAATACTGAAAGTTTCTCTCTGTTTCAGAATGCTCAGCATGTGGAAGTGGAGAGTATTCCTTTGCCAGATATGCCACATGCTCCTTCCAACATTTTGATCCAGGACATTCCACTTCCTGGTGCCCAGCCACCCTCCATCCTAAAGAAAACCTCAGCCTATGGGTAAGGAAGCAGTGTCACAATCAGAGTGCATTTAGTAAAAGCACAAATTGACTGTCCAGTGCCAGAATTAATGCCGGGGTAAATAAAAGACAATGTGGATGTAAACAGTATGAAATTTGATTAAATGTAAAATAAGAAATCCCTTGAAAATTGTTTAGAAGAGAAAAATATTATTATTAAGTGATTACTGTGGGGTTTTTTTGTTTTTGTTTTTTTTAACAGACCTCCAACTCGGGCAGTTTCTATCCTTCCTCTTCTTGGACATGGTGTTCCTCGTTTACCCCCTGGCAGAAAACCTCCTGGCCCTCCTCCTGGTCCACCTCCTCCTCAGGTCGTGCAGATGTATGGCCGTAAAGTTGGTTTTGCCCTCGATCTTCCCCCTCGTAGGCGAGATGAAGACATGTTATATAGTCCTGAACTTGGTGAGGAGTGACTGTTCTTTTGCTGTTATAATTACCATTTTTTATGTTGGCCCTGTTTAACATATTGTTCACCACTCTCAGAACTTAGGAAGTAAATGAGAGGATGTCATATATATACTCATATACATACAGTTGGATAAATTATAGGATCTATCCAAGTAAAAGCATCGTACATAAGTATATTGTGTTTTAAATTAGGCTTTTCTTAGAGATGTAACTCTATCTTTTAAGACTTGTGTATCTTGTTCCCTTTTAGCTTGTTGTCATCAGACTACAGTGTTGTATACATTCACTGACTGTGTATGTGTATATAAATATGATTGTTGCCAAAGGAAATGGGTTCTCAAATTAGAACCTCTTTTTAAAAAAATCTTAAATTACCAAAAAGTAGTGTTTAAAATTATTGGCAAATGAAAATATTGTTAGACTATATGAATAGCTATGTACAGGAATTTTTTTTTGTAAGAAGTTATTACAGTCTTGAGTTAAAATAACATAATTTTCAGTATTTCTGGGTACCGTGTTTTGGAGGATCCAATAATGTTACTTGTCCATGTTCCCTTCCCACTTTTCAGCCCAGCGAGGTCATGATGATGATATTTCTAGCACCAGTGAAGATGATGGCTATCCTGAGGACATGGATCAAGATAAGCATGATGATAGTACTGATGACAGTGACACTGACAAATCAGA